ACAAAAGCCAAATTGACTAAAGACGGTATAGCCATATACCCAAACACACCTAATGACCACAGACTATTGACAAAGACACTGACAGACAAAGGCGAGGAGTACCACACCTTCACCCTCAGCGAAGAAAAAACGCTGAGGGTGGTGATACGCGGAATACCTGCGGGTGTTTCGCCAAGTGAGGTCCAACTCGACCTCGCAAGACAAGGGTTCCCCGGCGCAATAGTGCACCGCATGGCGAGCCGTCAAAATAAACAGGAAATGCCCCTGGTCCTAGTTCAGGCCCCACAGGACCAGGAGGACATCCTGAAGGTAACCCGCTGCTGCTCGCTCGTGGTTCGAGTAGAGCTGCAGCGAAAGCAGCGGGTTGCCACACAGTGCCACCGGTGCCAGCGGTTCGGCCACGGCCAGACCCGGTGCACAGCTGAGCCAAAGTGCGTAAAATGTGGCGAAAACCACAGCACGCACGTATGCAAAAAGGCCAAAGACACGCCCGCCAGGTGTGCAAATTGCGCCGGGCCACACCCCGCCAGCTATATGGGGTGCCCTCAGTACCCCAAAGCTAAAAACACAAAAACACAAAACACAGACACACACACGACACAAAACACTACACAAACACACAGACAGCCCCTCCTACCCACCCCAAACACAACCCCAGGACGCACATACGCTGACATGACCAGAAAAACACAAAAACAAAACACACAAAAACACAACACCTCACCACACGCACACACAGACACGACACCCTCCCAACCGGGCGCGGCGGCCCTGATTGACGCAACGCCATTATTCTATGGCTAGAAATTGGCCTCAATGATTTGGGATCGAGGGGGATTATCCCTCTTTATCCTGCCTCATCTCGTGTAGGCCTGCAACCCCTTCGTAGGTGGGCCCCATCCGTCGTCTACCCCGACCGCAAATGCGGCCGGTGTAGGCGCTTTGTGGGACCTCCTTTTGTCCTGGCTGGGCCCCGCCGGCTAGGGCCCTTTCTTCTGGCGCTCTTCTTGCTTCGCCGGCTCGTCTGTGTAAACCCCGGGGGTAGTGTCATGTTTATGTGTGGTATGGTTGGGTAGGGTAGTGCGGCTATGCAGCCTGGGATGCGCTTTGCTAAGGTGGCCCTTAGG